TTCACAAAGCTCCTGCCTTGGTACAGGTGGCCCTTGGGACTTTAGCTCTAGCTGTGGCAGGGAAGAGGCAGGTGCCTCACACATGTTCCTGTGTGCATGTGCATGTGCATCCTTAATTATTATTTAGCACTAATTATCCAATGCTGCTCTTGGAATCATTCCTCCTCAGCGAGTCTCTCTGGATGCGTGCAGCTCTCAGAGCCCAGGACGGCAGCAGAGGCCTTCCCAGTCCAGAGACTGCAGGACTGCCCATGCCCTCCTCCCACAGTGGGATTTCACCCTGTCTGCCTGGGGTGCAGCCTCCCGGGTCGCTATCCCCGGGTCTCCCAGGCCCCTGCCATGCCGAGGCTGCTGGCCCAGGCCTGCCCCTCCACTCCCTTTGGCGCTCAGTGGTGTGCGTGGCACCCGGGGCAAGGTCTGCTACTCAGGGCAGCTTTCACAACCGAGCCCAGTGGGAGTGTAGGGTTCATGGCACCATGCCCAGGCATTGCTGCAATACACCATGCCCCTGCTCCCCTCCCCCTCACTGGGGAAGCTGGATGCTGACACTGCACTTGCCCCATGTCCCAGTCCGTTCCTAACAAAGCCCCTAAGATGCTTGCAGCTCCTGGCTCTGCCACCTCCATATGTGGGGGCTGCTTGTCCAACGAGAGTAGGGGTCTATTAGGAGCAGCTGGTGCACCGTGCCCTGCTGCTGGGCCTTCCCTGGCTTCCCCTGGCCTCAATGCCTTGCCCAGCTTTCCAGGAGCAGCTGCTTGGTGCAGGGAGCTGCAACCTGACATTCCTCTGCCATCCGCTGCCCTTTCCCCACCACAGGAGTGTGTAAGGGTCCTGACTAAGCGAGGCGGGTGCAATCAAGCCTTTGGTTGCAGTGCAGGGGATGGGCTGCAGTCCGGGCCTGAGGGGGTCACCTGGTCAAACTGTTTGGGGGCAACGTACTGGCTAAGGGAGCTGACCAGATGGATGCCTGTGAGGAGGGGACCTGAGGCCAGGGTCTTTCCTGGCAGCAAGTGTGAGAAAGGGGCTGGGGCTGGCTCAGAGCACTGCAGATCCCAGCCGGGGTCGTGCTGCACCTGTCTGTGGGCTATTTGCCCCATACGAGCACCAGCAGTGCCTGCTCCAACCACCTGCAGGTGCAGCCTCAGGGGCTTAGCTTGGAGCTGCTCGAGCCTTTCCCCTTTCCCTCCCATCCCCTCCCCACAGCATGTGGGTCAGACGCTGCAGCTGCTGTCTGCTGAGCTCAAGTCCCTGCAGCCCCCACAGGCATAGCACAGCTTGGGGGAGGGGGTTCTGTCACATGCTTTCCGTGGGCATGTACTGCCAGCTGCATGCCCCTACGCAGCCTGTATACAGGGGAGGCTGGGCAGGCATGTGCATTTGCACTCGTATGCATGTGTGTATCACACGTTTGTCTAGGAGCTCTTCGCCGGGGGGTGGAAGGGGTGTTTGGAGTGTGTGCACTGAGTATGTAGGAGTGCGTGCAAGGGACATTGTGTACCTGGGTGTGTGTAGTGTGAAGAGGACTTTCTGCCCCTTGTGTGTGAGGCATGTTATGTGGCGGGCGGGTTACGACCAGGCGCCTTTCCCAAGAAACCTCTTCGCTTGCACCAGGCCAATTTCATAGGATCCCAGAGCAGTGGGGCTGGAAGGGAGCTCCAGGGCTCAGTCCCCTGCCTGAGGCAGGATCAGCCCTGTCCAAACTAGCCCAGACAACTCCATTGTCCAACCTCTTAGCAAAGCTACACAGTCAATCCTGACACAACAGCGGGCATCACACCTGACCCTGCCACAGGCAAAGCAGGGGACCACAGCAGTCAAAGTCCTGCTTTTATCAAATGTTGTTAGTATACAGTCAAGGGATCAGGTAGAGGCCACAAGTCCACTACAGAGGAAGGCAAAAACCCCCACAGTCTGCACCAGTCTGACCATGGGGTAAAATTCCTTCTTGACCCCAAATGCAGCATTGGTCCTGACCCTGAATAGAGGGGCAAGACCCTCTAGCTGGGAACCCCCAAGTTTAAGTCCCAGCAAGAGCCCTGGCACAGCCCAGTCCCCATCCCCAGCATCAGCTGCAGACAACACCCAATGCTTCTGAGGAAGGCTTTAAAAAAATCCCCAGGTGCATGTAGCTGGGAGGGGGGTGGGCAGTTCCCTCCTAGCCGCGTGCAACAGCCAGCAAAACCCTTGAGCTGATTTCCAGGTGTCCAGCATGTGGCAGCAGTCTCTGCAAGCTATGGTGACTTTCTTTCCCCATCCTGGAGACTGATGGGAGCCCTGGTGCGGAGCCACCTGGGGAGTTGCCCAATGCCACGCACTAATGACAGAATCTGCCGTGGGGCAAACCTAGCCCTGGCCTGCTGGATGAGACCCGGCCCAAGCCCTTCCTCCACCACCAGTCCCTCACTCCCCAGTGCCTGGCTCTTGCCTCTTGATGGGTCATTTGGGGTGCAGGGCTGGGGCGGGTGCTGGGGGAAAAAAGGCAAAGGGCTGGGGCGAGTTGGGGTCAGTAGTGGGCTCCAAGGGGTGCAGTGCTGGGGGCTGCGACTACCTGGCTGCTTTGCCCCGCTCTGCCTTCCCCGCCTCTGCTGCTCCCTGCTCCGGGCGGTGATGGGCCTTCACTACAGACACAGCCCTGAGCCCCTGCACTGTGCCCAGATCCTGCTGTGTGCTGGGGGCAGTGGACCCTGGGGCTGCATGGTGGCACTGCCCCTGCTGTGCTTTGCCCCACACCACCCCTCCCTCACACTGCCTCAGCCAGACCATCCTCCCCCAGAGACCACATACATGGTCCCCCATCACCTCCCCGGAGAGCCGTGGCTGTGGTGGTGTGTGTGAGGCTGGCTGGCCATGGCGATGGGGCTGGTGAGCCCTGGCAGAGGCAGCTGCCTCAGGGGTGAAGCTGCCCACAGCTGTGACCATGGCAGGAGACATGGCTGTGGCTGCTATGGGTTTCGGGGTGTGGGCAGTGGCCCTTGAGCAGGGGTGGCTGTGACTGGGGGAGTGACGTGCCATGGGAGTGGCAGCTGTGGCAGCAGAAGAGGCTGTGTGAGTGACACCGGCTGTGGCCATGGTAGTGGTGTGTGAGGGTGGTGGCAGTGGGAGACTGTCAGCAGCTGCGGTCAGCGGGAGGCACAGGCAGCAGCTGGGGGTGAGGCTGACCGTGGCCGTGGCACTGAGGCTTGGAGGGAGGGCTTGGGATGCAGTGGGGACTGTGCAAAGTGACATCCCCATGGAGGGGCTCGGGGCTCTACTGGGGCTGGGGCTGCCACCCTGGCTACCCGGTGCTGTTGTGCTGCCTGGCCCCTCCCCAGACCCCTCAAGCCCATGTAGGAGGGAGCAGCACTGGTAAGGAGGGAGCACCATGTTCCCGTGTCCTGTGGCCAAACCTGAAGGATCCCTACCCCATCCTGTCCTCTGGCACTGCCCTGTCCTTAGGGCCTCACTCACCTGCCCGCCTTGGGAGTTGGACCCAGCCAGTGTGCAGCAGATCCAGCCTGTCTCAGCCCCTCTGAGACTAGGTGGTGGGCACAAGCTCCCCTCCACCTGGCCTTCATGCTTGGGCTCAGGCCCTGGCCCCTCCCGCTGCTCTTCCAGAGGTTGTCCTGAGCACCACCAGGCTGGGGGCAATACCTGTTCCCAGGCCAGGAAAATGGGCTCCCTTGGGTCACATCCACAGGCCTGGGCTGGCCATGAGCCATCTCACGGGCTGCAGCCTGCCTTGTTTTGGGGAAGGGGACTCGCTCAGGCTCCCCATCATGTGCCCCAGGGCAGGGAGAGGGGAGCGGCACTGCAGAGCTGTGGGTGCCCTCTCTGGCTTCTGCTGGCCAAGGCGGGCAGGGCAGGTTGCAGGGCATGGGAGGTGGCACTTGGCAGGGGCCAGCAAATCACCAGCACTGCAAGTGCTCGTGGTGTTTGCTGCCCCCGGGGCTGTGTGAATGGCAGCTGTGGCCACGTGGCCGGGAGGTTGGGAGACTCAACTATGACAGCACCTAGGCCTGGCTGCTCCCCAGGGCCTGCATCTCTGCCAAATCAGCACTACCCATGCCTCCCTGAGTCTGTGGGGTGCAACAGGGCAGCAGCGGGCAGCTCTGGCCTGTTATCTAGGTGTGGTTCTGACCCAGAGCCTGATATGCTGCCCCTCCTAGGCACACATGCTGCCCACACACATGCCCACCACCCTGCCTGTATGCACACCTGTGGCCTGCATCCAGTGGGACTAATACAGACACGTGGCCTTGTATGTGTGCAAATGTGCACAGTTGCACACACAGATGCACCCATGCCTTTACACATGTGCCACTCATATGTGCCACTCTGGGCGAGGTAAGGGAAACCTGCCCCCATGCAGCACCTGTAGCTGCTGGACTCCTTGCTGCAGGGTTTGGGTGCAGTCTCTTCCCAGTGGAGGATGTCGACCATGCTGAGCTTCCCGGCCAGCCCAGCCTTGCTCTCCTCCATGCAGGGTGCCCTGGCTGTGCTGGCCTGTCCCATGCTACGAGCCTGCCAGTGCTGATGGTGCATGGTGCATGCCGTGGCCGAGGGGCACATTCCCACCAGGGCACATTCCAGCCCGTTGGCTGCAAGCGGGTGGGAGCGACACAGGCTGGGCAGAATGGACTCTTTGTGCAACGGGTGGGAGCAGGCCTGCCTGCAGCCAGCGAGGGGCTCTGCACTGGGTGGGGATGTGGGCCAGCCCTTGGCTGGCGAGTGGGCAGAGGTAGATAGGAACTCAGGGCTATGACCGTGGGGAGATGTGGCTGTTGGAGTGCACTTCCCAAGGCCCTGCTGCATTGCGGATCATACGGACATGCTTCCTGCCTCTGCCTTCAGCCCCATGTGGGCCTGGGCAGGGCAGGGCTGGGAGTGCTGGAGTGCCAGGGGCTGGGGAAGTGGTGGAGCGGGGCTGGCAAGAAGGAGGTGTGGGGCTGCCAGTGGGTTGGAGGGCTGTGGAGCAGGTGAGGCCACCTGTGCTGACCCCCCCCCACCCCTCTGTGTGGCAGAGAGCCAGCCCACGACGTCAGACGAGACGGTGGTGGCAGGCGGCACCGTGATGCTCAAGTGCCTGGTGGAGGACCCGGATGACTCCTCACTGCAGTGGTCCAACCCTGCCCAGCAGACCCTCTACTTCGGGGAGAAGCGAGGTACCAGCTCTGGGGCTCCAGCTGCAATCCCCTTGGGAGAAGGCTTGGGGGGTGGGGTAGGGGGTGCTGAGGGAGCAAGCTCAAGAGTGTGGGGCAGGGGAATGGCACACAGGGAGAGGGCACAGATGCGGGGCAGGGAACAGGCTGAGGGTGCAGGACTGGTACCCCAGTAGGGAGCAAGTCCTGGAGGATGGGGTGGAGGGCAGTGCTGGAAAGGGGGAGGTTGAGGGAGTAGAGCCAAAGAGTGGGGAGTATTGCTGCTGGTTGGGTGGGACCCAGGGCTCCCGCACCCTCATGTTCCCTCCCACCCCCATCAGCTGCTCTCACTGGTCCCTGGCTCTCTCCCACAGCCCTGCGGGACAACCGGATCCAGCTCGAGCGGTCCACACCCAACGAGCTGACCATCAGCATCAGCAACGTGGTGCTGTCCGACGAGGGCGAGTACACCTGCTCCATCTTCACCATGCCTGTGCGGACTGCCAAGGCCCTTGTCACCGTGCTGGGTGAGCTGGCGCTGCTGCCCTAGCATGACCACAGCCCAGCAGCATCACACGCTGCCCCAGCACAGCCTTCCAGTGCCTTGGGTCAGCATGGACTCTGCCATGGGAGTGAAGGGGTGCACACTGTTACACAGGAAAGCTGGGAGCTTGGCAGCTGGCCCAGGGCTCCCCACCTTCCTCCCAGCCCAGCTGGAGCAGGGCCTGCCTCTCCCAGCCTGTGCCATGCTGGGAGTCCATGTCACTGGGCAGAGCCCTTCAGCCAGGCTGTGCACATCCCTGCCCCACTGGGCACCTTGGTCTTTTCACGTCCACCCTGCTGGGTCCGTGTCCCTGCACAGACCGGTGCCTCGTGCCTGTGTCTCAGCATCCATCCCTGTCTCGCTGGCAGACGGATGAGGCTGCTCAGTCTGTCATGCTCTTCCTGCTAGGAATCCCCCAGAAGCCCCAGATCTCCGGCTACGAGATGCCCATCCGGGAGGAGGAGATGGCACGGTTGACGTGCAGGTCCTCGGGCAGCAAGCCAGCGGCCAAGCTCCGATGGAAGAAGGGGATCAAGGACCTGAAGGGTAGGTGCTGGCCCCAGTTTGCAAGGTGCAGAGCACCATGTCTTGCCTGGGGAGAGCACAGGGACCAGCCATGCTGGGGGAGACCCTGGCTTCCCTCCCTGGCCTGACTTGTGCTCTGCACTGCAACCAGAGCCTCCGGGATCCTCACTGGCAGCTCCTGGTGAGTGTCACCATAGGGAAGATGCTTCCCTAGGACAGAGCCTGCAACTTGACAGCCAAGACAGCATGGCCAGCAGCACGGCAGGGCTCAGGGGAGGGCAGAGCAGGGAGGTGCCACCCGAGCCCTGGGGAGACTGGCAGGGCATAGAGCTGCAGCATGATCTCTGCAAGGTGGGCACAGGCAGCCCAGGCTGTGAGTGAGGGAAGGAAGGAGTGAGCAGGGAGCTGGCACAGGATCCCAGCACCTGTGACCTGAATGAGCCCTATGCACAGAGCCCACTGCAGGGAACAGGACACAGCTGGGGCAGGCTGTACCTTCACAGCGTCCCAGCCCTGCCTGCGGGGATACAGGAGCTAACCACAGCCTCTCCTCCCCCAGACGAGGGCACTGATGTGATGGAGGACTCCAACGGGAAGACATTCACAGTGACCAGCCGCGTGGAGTTCCACGTCACCAAGGAGGACAACGACATGGAGGTGACCTGCACGGTGGATCACGAGTCCCTGCAGAACACGGAGAGATCCGTCACCCAGAAACTCCAGGTCTACTGTACGTGCGGGGGGTGGCCTGAGATACAGCCAGGGCCGTGCTGGGCTCAGGTAGTGGAGGGGACTGAAAGGGCTTCAAGCAGACACCCCCACCCCTGCCACCCCCACCCAAGCAAAGTACACATACAACCTGGGGCTAGCAGCTTCCCTGATGTGTGCATGCAAGCATGCACTGTCCTGGATTCCCTGCACCCCCAAACCAGCCTGCCCACCCGAGGCTACCTAGTACACCCCCCCCGCAACAAGCCACCTGCCCAATATGAGTGCAGTGTGCTGCAGTGCACTCCCTCATGCACACACCTACAGTGCACACTGCAAAGGCTGGCAGGGGCCTGCTAGGACTGGGGGGGGTGGTGTCCCTGTGACACTGTGCAGGTGCAGGTGCAGGTGCAGGCAGAGGAAGGCTGTCATCATGCTGCGGCTGTGGGTGTGGGGGACAGGGGTATGGCATGGCAGGGCAGGAGGGGGCAGCTATGTCATGCAGGCTGGGACACAACATGTGTGCATGGTGATGGGAGGGAGGTCCCTGCTGTATACCAGCGGGGGCAGGGGGTGCAAGCTGCAGATGTGGGGGGGCAGGTAGCTGATTTATGGGGGTGCTTGGGGGCTGAGGGGCATGTGGGGCAACAGGGAAGGGCAGGAACTCTGGTGGGGGAATGGGTCTGGCAGTGGAGGGGTGCGTGTGGCTGACAGAGGGCAGGGGGTGATGCTGAGCCTACCCAGGCCTGAGATTCATCCCCATTTCTCTCCTCTGTTTCCAGATAAGCCGACAGCCAAGATCGAGCCAAACCCCCAGTACCCCCGGGAGGGCGAGAAGCTGCGCCTGCAGTGCGAGGGGCAGGGCAACCCTGTGTAAGGACGTCAGCCTTGCCTGCTCCCCCGGAAACTCCTGTCCCCCGTCCCTCCCCACCAGGACCGCCCCTACGCCCTGTGGAAGA